TTCCCTAAGTCTCTGTATTGGACCCTCTTCTCTTCTCCCTTTATCCTCTCTCACTTGCTCTCATGGATTCCATTTGTTGTCTCTATCCAGATGACTGCTAGATCTCTATCCATCCCTAATTGCTTTCCTGCACTCTAGACTTATACCACAACTTGCCTATTAGACATTCACACTGGTCATTCCAGAGGCAGCTCAAACTCAACGTATCCAAAATAGAACTCATTTGCTTTCCCAAGCTTTCCTGGTCACCTCAGAACCATCCTCAGTTTCTCAATTTCACCCTTTTTATACGATCAATTGTCTAATCTTGTCATTTCTATTTTCACAGTATCGCTTTTTCTCCACTCATACAATCATCACCCTAATTCAAGCTCTCATCACCTCTCATCTGGACTATTGCAGTAGGCTCCTATTTCATCTCCTTTTGTTGCTGTTCGGTCATTTCCATGACCCCATTTGGAGCTTTCTTGGCAAAGATGCTGGAGTGGTTTGCCATTTCCTTCTCCAGCTCATTTTACAGATGAGGAAAACTGAGGCATATGGGGTGAAGTGATTTTCACAGTGTCACACAGCCCATAAGTATCTGAGGCCAGAGTTGAACTCAGGCTTTCCTGGCTTCAGACCCGTTGCTCTGTTCACTGTGCCAGCTAGCTGCCCTATTTCATCTCCTTACTACAAGCCTTTCCCTACTCCAATCCATATTTCACACTGCACCAAAGTGATTTTGCTGAAGTACAAGTTGGATCATGCCATGCCTCTACTCAGTAAACTCTAGTGACTCCCTATGACTTCTAGGATCAAATATAAACTTCTCTGCTTGGCATTTAAATTTCTTTACTACCCAACTCCTCTATACTATCCCAATTTTCTTGTAGCACTTAACACAGTGCCTGGTACATAGTAGATGGTTAATAAATGTTTAGTGATTGATTGATATTTTCCCCTCCATGAACTCTGGGATCTAGTCCTAATGGTTTACTCCACCTTCTGCACCCATATCTTGTGCCTTTGTGCTGGCTGTCACCAACTCGGTCCCCCTCACCCCCATCCCATGCCTGGAATGAACTTGCTCCTCACCTCTAACTCTTAGAATCCCTGGTTTTCTTCAAACTTGGCTCAAATGCCACTTTCTACATGCAACCTTTCCTGATGCTCCTTATTGCTAGTATGCTTCTTACCCAAATTACAATGCATTATATCTGTCTATATTTATTTGTCTGTCTATTTTTTTAATCTATACATGTTGTCTATCCTGTTAGAATGTAAGATTCTAAAGGGAAGGGGCTACTTCACTTTCGTCTTTGTATTCCCACATATTAGCACAATGCACTGCAACTAATAAGTGCTTAATAAATGGTTATATGCTTGTTGATTAATAGAAGATTTAATTTCTTATAATTTACCAGTTGTTGATATTATTGCTTAAAATAAAACTTGGTGATTACTTTAGGATTTAAATTGCTCATGTTTCCCTTACCCTATTATTGTAGCTATTCTGAAGTTGGCTATATTATTTTCAAAATGTTATCTATTGCATTGCTTTAAAAAAAACTATTTGTTTTAATCAGTCAACACCTAACTTCTCACACTTCTATCCCCAACCATTCCCACCCCATTCAGGACACCAGACAAAAAAAAATCCTTTACAAACATATATAGACAATCAAATAAATTTTCACATTGATTATGTCTAAAAAAAATTTGTCTCATTTTGAATTCTGAGTTCTTCACCTCACTATCAGGAGGTGGGTAACATGTTTCATCATTAGTCCTCTGGAATCCTGGTTGGTCATTATGCTGATAGGAGTTCAATACAATAGTTTTCTATCACATCTATAGACCATAACTTATTGATCCATTCCCCAGTTTATGAGTATCCCCGTAAATTCCCAATCTTTACCACCTCAAAGAAAACTTTGATTTTTTATATCCTTAGAGTTTATTTTTGCTTAGGACTAATCCCTCCCTTAATCTACCCTTCCTCTAGTTTACCTTCCCCCCTTCTCCCCTTTTTCTCCTATTTCCATGTTGAGTGAAATACATTTCTGTACTCACCAGTGTGTATGTGTGTATTCTTCCTTCTTTTAACCAATGTCAGTTGCTCCCTTCTGCCCCCTCTTCCTTGTTTATATGGATTTCTACTTATGCACCCTGATTATGTGAGATAAATTTCCATGACTTTCCTTTTCCTTCCCCCACCCCCAGTATATTTCTTTTCCCCTCTCTTTCTTTTCTTTTCTTAAGATCATCAATTTGTCAATTTGGACATCTTCTATGAACCCTGATGATGATAGGGTTCAGAGGGAGCACTTATATCATCTTCCCATATTTGAACATAAGCAGTTTATCCTTTTTTCATTCCCTTATCATTGTTCACTTGTGTTTACCTTGTTATGCTTCTCTTCACTCCTGTGTTTGAACTTCAAAATTTCTATGCACTTCTGGTTTTTTCATCTGGAATGCTTTAAAAGTCCTCTATTTCATTAAAGTTCCATTTTCCTCTATAGCATTATACTCAGGTTTGCCGATGAAGTTATCCTTGGCTATAAGCCCATGTCCTTTGAGTTCTGGAATATCATATTCCAAACTCCCTGCTCCTTTATGGTTGTGGCTGCTAAATCATGTGTGATCCTAACTGTGGTACTTGGAATCTTTCTGGCTGCTTGTAGTATTTTCTCTTTGACCTGGAAGTTCTGGATTTTGGTTATAATTCCCCTGATAATTTCATTTTGGGGTTTCTTTCAGGGGGTAGCCAGTGGATTCTTTCCATTTCCACTTTGCCCACTGGTTCTAAGACATCTGGGTGGTTTTCTTTTAAGAGTTCTTGAAATATTATGTCTAGGATCTTTTTTTAGTCATGGCATCCAGATAGTCCAATGATTCTTAAATTTTTTTCTCCATTTTCTGTTTGCTAAATCAATTTTTTTATTATATCTTACAATTTATTCTATTTTTTAGGGTTTTTTACTTTTTTTTAATATTTCTTGTTGCCTCATTGAGTCATTGCCTTCTATTCAGTTCTAATTTTCAGACAGTTTGTTGCTTGGGCAAGGTTTTGAACCTCTTATGCCAAGCTATTAATTTCTTTCCAATTCTTTCTTCCATAGCTCTCATTTCTTTTCCCATTTTTTCCCTCAAGCACTCTCATTTATAAAACATTTATAAAAACACTTTAAAACTTTTTTTAAGTCTTGCTTCATCTCTTCCAGGAATTCTATTTGAGTTTGTGCCCAAGCTGCATTTTTCTCTGTGGCTTTGCTTGTAGATGCTGGAGTAATTCTCTTCTGTGGTGTTTTTTTTTTGTTTGTTTGTTTGTTTTTTATTTTTTATTTTTTGTCTTGAGCATCCCGGATACCATAATAACTTATTTTTTCTGGAGTTCTTTTTATGTTTGCCCATTCTCCCAGCCCACTTCTTGACTTCAGACTTGATGTTATGACTGGGCTTTGCCACACTTCTGGAAGAAAGACCGGGGATAGTCTTGTTGCTGCTTTCTTGGAGTATTGAGTGTTGTATTATTCTGGGATCTCAGAGACAAGCAGGGACCTGCAAGCTTTTCATATTTCTATAATTGCTGCCCCCCACCCCCACCCCTGGTCTGAGCTCTGCAAGTTCCTGACCTGGGTGTGAGACTTTGCAGTAGTAGAACACTTCTGGACTCAGCCACTGTCTCTTGGCTCAGAGTGGCACAGTTTTAGGTCCCCCTTTGGCCTGGAATTCCTCTCAAGTATTCCTCTGCAGGCACTGGTCTATATGCTGGAACTGAGACCCTGCCCTGGCTTTGGGTCCAAGTCATAGTGCTGCTGCTGCTGCCTTCTGAACTTCCTTTTTCTCTATATACAGCTCAGGGCCCCCTTACCCATCAATTTCACTCTCTTATGCAAGTCCCTTTCTTAGTCCACCCTGGATCTGTGACCCAGAACTTGGGTAACGAGTGACAAAGCTGACAGAACCCTTCCCCATCACATTGACCTGGTATGGTATGGTACTAGTGGTATCCCAGACCTCCTCTTACTCTAGTACAGGCCTGGGCATTGAAGTATTCAGCATATAGTATGCCCTGTCTCCAGTGTCCACAGGCTTCCTCTTTCCTATGCCAAGCTGGGCTGCACAAATGACTCACTATGACTTTTTCTGGATTTTCCCCAGCAGGACTTGGTCTGGTTCATTTTCTAGATCTGTTTGGAGGAGTTTGTGGAGGAGAGCTCACTGCACTTCTTCCTATCACTCCACCATCTTTAATTACATTGCTTTTGAAAAATCATGCCTAATTTACTACCTTTAATAGGGTAGGGACTTTGGAGGCAGGGAGTGCCTAAACAATGGATGGAGTAGAGTGTAACTGCCTGTGTGGCATGATTAGAGGAAATGCCAGCTATTTCTGCTCTAAAATATCATCCCCACTACTTGATAATTTGCCCTTTTAGCTCTCTGTCTTTGAGTTTCATAGGCTTGGAGCAAACTCCTGGGAAGGGTCATATCATAAGGTGTTAAGATTGAGTGTTAATATTTTATTATCAGGTACCATCTTAGTAGGGATTGGCCAGAATGGGATAGGCGCCCTTGAGTACTTAGCAGGATAAGAGGGAGGAAAACAACTTTGTTAGGGGAGGCATTTATACTTGAAATTAAAGTGAAAAGAAAGAAACAATATTTGACAGTGGTAACATATCTTTTAGGTTATTGTGGCTGTTTAGGGCTGAAGTTAAAATCCATCTAATTGGTTGGAGACTCAGCACAGTACCATGGAATGAGTATTGGGTTTAGAATCAGAGAATGTGGTTAAGATCCTAGTTCTTCTATTTCTGTTTGTATAAGATTGGACAAGTCACTTCCCTTCTCAGGGCCTCAGTTTCCTCATCTGGAAAGTGAGGATTGTAAAATGAGGGTGGCCTCTGAGGTCCCTTCCTGCTCCAATTCTATGATCTATGATTCTGTGAATGTATCAAAGTGCTTAACCTTGTGTTTTCTCTCCACCCCATCCCCTTCTTTGATTTCAGAACCACGAATTGGAAACTGAAAATCTGAGATCTCTTGCTCACAAGCTGAATGTGGCCGCCAAAAGCCTACAGGGCTTTCTAGCTGGACGAAGGAGGAGCGGCCTCACCGGTCTTAGAATATACAGACAACTACCGAGTAACTGTCTCACTGCTGTAGTTGACCTGATTGGTGTAGCCAAGAAATTACTGGCCTGGCTCGACAGGTAATTCTAAGCTTGTGATCCTTAAAGTCCTGGAGTAGTTGTGGCTGACTGATTTTTTGTCTTTCCTACTTTATATTATAGTTTGGAAATATGTCAGTTCTTTGACATTTTATAACCTCTGATGTCTTACATTCAATTTTATTTTTGCAGTGCCTCTTCCCATTAGGCTCGGATAACCCTAGGATGAAGGGGCAGGCTGCTGCATGGTGAGCTGCCTCATTAAACAAGGTAGATGGAATGGAAGAGACCAGGGTTTGAGTCCCAGTTCTGACATAAGCCTTTTGACCTTAGGAAAGTCATTTCCCTCATTTGTCTCATCTCTAAAATGAGAATGATCTCTAAGGCCACTTCTAACTCTCATATTCCATGATTCCATTTTAAAATTGAGATCTATAAAAGAGACATATTGAGAAGGATGTAGACTTTACCAAAAAATGTTATGTGCTCCACAAACTCATTTACTTTGGTTTTCATTTAAATAGTTAGCTCCAGTAGTACACATAAGGAAAGATTAGAATTATTGCACTTTTTGAGAAGTATATTTTTGCATAAAGCACATTGGGAAAATATCTAAGAAGGTAAATATTGAAAACAGAGGACCTATGATTGCACTAGAAATGTAGCCAATTTCTGATTATTCAGGAGTTGGTACCGGGTGCTTTATACAGGCCTCTTATTTGTCCTTTTAAGTAGGCAGGTAAACAGAGAAACTTCATTTGTAACTCCTGTGTCACATATTAGTCATATAACAGTACTGACCTGTTAGGATTTATCTGAACCATTCATAGCAACCCAAATATTACAGCTTCTTCTATGCACACTGATTATATCTATCACTTGGGCTAACCAAGATTCAGTCTGCTGTCTATTTTACTCTAAGTAACCAGGACCAGGCTTTAGAATCTACTCTCCTGAATTCTGGTCCTGTTCTGTGTTTAGGGATGATATGAAGATGTCTGTTTCTCAGCCACCAAATTAGATTTGACTCCAGTCAGTTCTGACTGAAAGACTACAGTCACCTCTCAATTATGTGCACTAAGAGAACGCCAGTGTGGTTAATATGCCTGGGGCTTCCCTCCTAGCTATAGCAAAGCTCCAGAGACAGAGAGATTAAACAGTGGGAGATGTAGGAGTGCTATGATGTATCTGGGAAGAGTATATGGCTGGGTCACGAACTCAGATGTTTTCTTCTGCTCCTTTTCTGGTCCAGTCTCCTCTCCCTGCCATTTTGTAGATAAGGAAACTGAGGCCTACTTTCTAACAGGCCACTTTTTATTTGCTTATTTTTCAGTCAATTCTTGATAGACAAAAAAACAACAACAACAACAGAAAGAAAAAACCCAGTGAACACAGGGGGAGGTTACAACTGCCACAGTCAGAGGAAAGTTAAATGGAAGTTTCTGCCTTTTCTTCCCATGCCCGTTCCAATCAGTTGACTGGCATTTTGCTGGAACTGCTCAGAGAACCGTAGGATTTTATAACTGGCCAGGACTTTAAAGATGATCTAGTTTAATTCTCTCAGTTTTACAAGTAAGGAAACTGAGATTGAGAGAAGTTAAATAACTTGCCTGAGGTGGCACAATGATTAACGGCAGGCCTGAGATGAGAACCTATGGCTCTTGACTGCCTGTCTTTCCTGTTATGCCATGGGGATCAGAGAAGGCATAACACTTGGGATCTCTGTCATGTAGCACAGTAAGGTGAGAACTGCAGGAAAAGGGGACTGATTAAGTGATAATGAGAGGAAAGGACCTCCAGCATGTGACATGGAATCTATAACGCATTGAGATGTTGAGAGATGGCTAGATTTAATTTTCTTGTTTTATTCCTGTCTCACAAAGTTCATATCCAGTTGTTAGCATTAATGAACATTCTTTAAGAATCAGAAGATTGAGAAATTCTAGTGTGCACATTAGTGGGGAGGGGAAAGGTTTGCCTTCAGTCCTGTTCTTTTAATAAATGCTCTTCAAGGCAATCAGAGACCCCTTTCAGAAACGACATAGTCTTTATAAGATGACCTCATTGACCAACCTTCTAAAATGTCGAATTTATATCTCCGGGTTTTTTAATTAACTCTTTGATAACTTAAAACCTCAAGCATTGCAGATTTCCATAGCCATTATTTAAAAGGCTTCGGGTTTCCTTACTTAATTTTCCCTTTGTGCCATTACCACAAAGGGTTCAGAAAAGAATTTCTGAATAGCCAGGTTTCTGAAGTTGTGATGTCAATGAAAGAAGTATTGTCGTCCATGTGCCTAAAATGCAAGATGGGGTGTTTTGTATTGAAGGTGTTTGCCGGAAATCTCTCTGTTACTTTCTGAGCCTCACAGTCCCAGTCACATCTGATTTTGCAAAGTTCTTTAAGGAAACTCCCGATGCCATTGTAGTTGTGCCAGTGACTCATTAGGGACACTCTTCTGAGTCAGTTTCAGAGCAGATAGCAGCATGGGGTTTGAACACAGTTGGGGCCTTGAGATGGTGTGTTTCAGCTGAGGTACAAATTGGAGAACTCAATCATTCATGCCCATTAACGCTACTGGTTTAGCTTTTACCTGAGTGGCCTAGCCAAATTGCATTTCCCATATAGTAATTCGATTTCCCCTTTTCAAAATTGCCTGGTGAGGAGTGTCAATTGGTGGAGGCGCTCCTTATTTTCTCTCTGAAACTTGTTAGAGTGGTGTTACTGGGGAAAAGTGGCTTCTGTGTTTCAATCCAGAATTGGCTTTATCTCTGTGACAGGTGAGTAAAGCCCTATATGTTTAGTCTTTGAAGTGTTCTGGGAATCTGCAAGAGAAAAATGCTATTAAAATGTAAATTTTCAATTATTAGTGTTAATATTGAATTTCTCTCAAATTGAGATTCAAAGGTATTATTTGACCTGGTTCAGTCTGGCTTAATCAAATCCATGTTTTGAGGCCTAAAATTCATTTCAGCTTTATTAAAAAGAAGGCTATAGATCTGACGAGTCATCTCTGTAATAGAGGTAGTGACTATTTTGGAGAATTGGAGCTAATTCAAGAGTTTAATTCAAAAGCTCATCATGAAAACAAAGAAAAAAGTCCTGTCACATGGCCTGCTCCCAAGAGTAATCTCTTCTTCAGGTCTTCTTTGTTTGCTTTTGTTAAATGTTCATGGCCTCCAGAGTGAGTTATTTGGATTTGCTGACATCAAGTTAAAAAGCAGAAGAGATTAGCTTTGCAAACACTGCAAGCCTACGTCTGCATGACAACTTCATGTTAGGACCACTTGCTGGACACAAAACCACTGGGCTTCGGTTTGGTTTGGTCTTTACGTAATGTTCCCAAATGCCAGTCTTGGAATTTCAAATTCATTTTTAGCAAATTGCTTGCTGTGTTCCAGACACTAGCTAGTGCCAGGATTGCAAAGACAAACAAAGCAGTTCCGGCCCTCAGTGAGCTTATTTTCTACTGGAAGGATGCAACATGGACACAGATAAGTATAACTAGGGATAAAGAATGAAAGGGGCAAAGGTCTGACCCAGACAAAATGCTCCAAGACTGTTGGAGTAGGCTGTGAGCACTAATAGCTGGGGGATATATTGATTAGTGCCTAAATAATGTTGTTATTGTCTAAATATATCTATACATACATATGTATATCCCATGGAATTTACAACTACGGAATTCAAGAAAATGATTTCTAGAGAAGATATTTATCTAATAGTCATTATAAAGTTTGGCAGTTGAAAACCATTTAGCTGAATATGACCCCAAACTTACAAATCTTATATGTTTAATAGTAAGATTTCAGGGCCTCACTTCAGATCACATCATGGTCCTTGTGACCCTGCCTCAGTGGTTTACTGGCCATTGGTCCAGAGTTCCTAATGGCCTAGCTGAGCTGAGGTGGGTGGGGGGGAAGGATAGGTGGCAAAGAAGGGGAAGGAAAGGTCAAGAGAATTGTGCCCACGTGTTTCATGCCTGGAAGGAGCCGTAGGAAAGTATCTTGTGCTTTTTGGCAGCTAGTGTTGCCACACGGAGGTTTTATAAACTTAATTTTAAGAAGTGTTTTGAAATGTTGCCCCAAACCACATGTACTTCCAGAGTTGGCCTCCAAAAAATGACCCTTCGATCAATGAATTTCCCCCAGGACTGGCAGCGTGACAACCTGCAAAGCTTGGATCAGAGGCTTAAATGGCTCTTTCTTGCTAACTCTTGAAATAAAATTTCATTTCTCCTGTTAAAATAAATATGGATTTGGTACTATGTTGCTTATTAATTTAGATTTACATAGGGTACTCTGAAAACACCCCTCTTACTGTTGGGAATTCCTGAGTGATGGAGTGATCCTTATCAAAGGCACAGTGGGGTTATTACCTCATCAAAAATCCTGTGGGTGTTTGTGGCTCCTCTCATGCTAGACCCATAGAGTACTTTCCCCAGCCATGTTATGGGACAAATCTTGCTGAAGCCATGACCAACATGAACATAAGCTTTCTCCTAGAGAAAACACAGCTGTTACTCTTTGACATGGAAGTTTGAGATCTAGAGTTTAACAGTCTTTTTCAGAGGATGCTCTAATGACTCTAGCCATTGAAGATTATCACTGTTTTAGTTTCCCCAGAGGATTAATTAGCCTGTTATTGGCATTAGGTATAAATGGCAAGAGATAATGCTCAGTGAAACCCAGATTGATAGGGTCTTCTATTATCTTTCTCTGGCAGGCTTCCATTTGTCACTGTGACAGAATACGGGGTCCTGAAAAACAAAATTGTTCAACTCTGCCTGCAGTTAACGTCTATTGTACAACAGGTAAGTACTGGTTTAGCAGGTACTAAGCATGAGTTATTCTTATTTTGGGTACCAAGGCTTATTTATTGTTCCTTTGCAGTGTTTCTCATGCCCATACTTCTTTTTCTATTTGTACTAATGTCACCTTAGTTCAGGCCTCATTACCTTTCACCCGGACCACTGCAATGTTATCATTCAGTAGTTTTTCAGTCATATCTGACTCTTCATGACCCCATATGGGGTTTTCTTGGCAAAGATAGTGGAGCGATTTGTCATTTCCTTTTTCAGTGCATTAAGGCAAATGGAGATTGAGTGATTTTGCCCAAGGTCACAAGCTAGTGAGTGTCTGAGGCTGGCTTTGAGCTTAGGTCTTCCTAGCTCCAGGCCCAGTGCTCTATCCACTGCAGCACCACCTAGCTGCCAGACTATTGCAGTAGCCTCTTTGTTTGCCTATTTCCAACTTCTTCCCCTCCAAACAATCCTTCCCATTGCTACCAGTTTAAAACACTGATTTATGCACAAGACCTTTGCTCAAGTGCCGTCATTGATTCTCCATTTTCTGCAGATTAAAAAACCACATGTTCATAGCCCTGTACCATAGGGCCCCTACCTAGCCCTCTAGCCTTATCTCTCCTTCTTTTCTCAGAAGCTCCTTCTACTCTAGCTGACCTCTTCTCTTTATTGTTCCTCAAACATTTGATTCACATTCTCGCCTCAGAATCTTTGCTCGCATCATCCTTCAATTTATCTATGTCCAGTTCTTCCTTCAGGGCCTAGCTTAAGACTCATGTTCTCTCTTAAGCCTTCCCCAACCATACCAGCCCTCAATGACTGTTCCCTTCTCTAAACTCTAGCCACACTTACTTTTTGTGTCATTCATTTGATATTTAGCTGATGCTACCTTCTACTGTTATTTGTATCTTTGATTTTTTTTGATTCTGTCTCAGCCACATTTTGAGCTCCTTAAAGGTAGAGACTTTGTCTCATATCTTTATGTTTCTGTGATATGGAACAGCTTAGGAATTTGATAAAGGTTTATTAAAGATGGAATTCACAAAGATACTCCATGACAGTGATGTCAAACTCAAGTAGAAACAGGAGCCACTAACCCATACATAAGGAATCTTGCAGGCCACATTTTGACTTAGAAAACCACATATTAACATTATCTGTGTTGTATTATATTTTTATTTATCGTGTTAAGTATTTCCCAATTACATTTTAGTCTGGTTTGGACCGTACATGGAAGTGTTGTCAGCCACATGTGGCCTGTGGATTGTATGTTTTATACCTCTGCTTTCAGAACATTGCACTCTTACGACAGTTATTATATCTGTTAATATGCTACTTCTTATATAAGAAAATAAACCTTATTCCACTTGTGGGAATTCTGCTGCTTCTCTCAAAAAACAGAGGAGCCCTTCTTTTTGGATCCATGAATGATTTGATAACTATATATATCATATTTCTTTTTTTAATTCATAATTTATTTTTAACATTCTTTTCTTTTTGAATTTTGAGTTCAAGATTCTCCCCTTTCCTCCCACTTCTCCTTCACCTCCCAACTCTCCTCTACCCACTGAGAAGGTAAACTATGTGATATCAATTATGTATGTGAAATCATGCAAAACATTTCCATATTAGCCATATCACAAAAAAAAGAAAAAAAAAGAAAGCAAGAAAATTATATTTCAATTTGTGCTTAGAGTTCATTAGTTCTCTCTCTGGAGGTGGATAACATTTTTCTCATCATTAATCCTTTGGAATTGTCTTGGATCACTGTGTTGATCAGTAGCTATGTCTTTCATAGTTGATCATCATTATAACATTGCTGTTATTGTGCATAATGAACTCCCAGTTCTTCTCACTTCACTTTGCACCAGTTCATATAGTACTTGCCATATTTTTCCTGAAACCACCCCCCTCATCATTTCCTATAGCACAATAGTAATAATATGCCCTAACTTGTTCAGCCATTCCCCAACCAATGAGTATCTCTTCAATTTCCAATTCTTTGGCACCACAAAAAGTGCTGCTAGAAATATTTTTGTAAATATAGATCCTTTTCCTTTCTCTGTGATCTCTTTGGGATATAGATCTAGCAGTGGTATTGCTAGAGGATATGCACAGTTTTATAGCCCTTTTAGGGATAGATATAGATATAGATATAGATATAGATATAGATATAGATATAGATATAGATATAGATACAGATATAGATATAGATATAGATATAGATATAGATATAGATATAGATATAGATATAGATATAGATATAGATAGATAGATATGTATGCACAGAGAGAGAGAGAGAGAGAGAGAGAGAGAGAGAGAGAGAGAGATTATTCTCCAGAATGGTTGGACTGGTTCACTACTCCACCAGTAATTCATTAGTGTACTTATTTTCCCTCATGTTTTACAGCATTTGTTATTTCTGATAGGTTCATGAGGTGGTACATCAGAGTTGTTTTAACTTTTCTTTCTCTAGTCAGTGGTGATTTAGAGCATTTTTTTCATATGACTAAGGATAGCTTTGATTTCTTCTGAAAACTACCTGTTCTTATCCCCTGACTATATATCATTTGGGGAAGGGTCTTCATTTTTATAACTTTGACTCAGTTCTCTATATATTTGAGAAATGAGGTCTTTATCAGAGAAACTTGCTATAAATTTTTTTTGATTATTACTTCATTGTCTATGGTACCTTTTAGCAAAATGTTGTTTCCCTGATTATCTCTTTTATTAGGTCTATTTTTGCTTTTGATTTGTTGAGATCATGATTGCTACTCCTGCCTTTTTTACTTCAGCTGAAGCATAATAAATTCTGCTCCAGCCCTTTATTGTAATTCTCTGTTTGTCTTTCTGTTTCAAGTATGTCTCTTGTAAACAATATGTTGTTGGGTTCTGGTTTCCAATCTATTCTGATATCTGTATCCATTTTATGGGTGAGCTCATCCCATTCACATTTACAGTTATGATTACTGTGTATTCCTTCCATCCTGTTTTTCTGTTTGTCCTCTCTCTCTCTCTCTCCTGTCTCTCCCTCAGAAGTCTGTTTTGCATCTGACCACTGCCTCTCTTAATCTGTCCTCCATTTATCATTCACTCCCCCATATACTTTACCCTCTTCCTATTTCCTTATTGGGTAAGGTAGATTACTATACCCAACTGAGTGTGAATATATAGTCTTCCCTCTTTGAACCAACTAATAAGAGTGAGGTTCTCTTTCTGAGCAGTTGTCCAACCCCCTTTCTGTCTCTGGATTGAGAGCTCCTGAAGCTGCTACTATTGTTGCATGTGCCTCCAAGGCCCACCACTGGTGCTCTTGCCAAATCTGGGCCTTTGCCTACCTTGGTGTTATAGCCCTCTCCTTCAGACATCTTAAGTTTTCTTTTTTGGCTCTGTCACTCCAAAATTTTATTTGAGGCGTTATTTTAAAGGGTTTTTTTGAGGGAAATTTTGGGAGAAATTGGGTGGGTCTTGGCCTATACTCTGTCATCTTCTACAATAATCCTTGTATTTCTTTAATATCACCATTCCATCTAGCACAGTGCTAGGCACCCAGGGGATGAAAGAAGAATGGAGGTTTCAAGGAGTTAGGGGTGAGAAGCTGTGGTGGACAGGGGCCTCTTATTGATATAAATCCCTACAGACACTTGTCAGTCCTGGTTAGCTTTCTACCCATTACCCATGTTCTTTTCTTTCCAAAGCCCCAGTGCTTGGTCTGATCATGTCACTCCCCTGCTCCAAAAACTTGCCTCCTTTCATTTCCCTGTCCACCAGCCCCCCATTCATTGCCTTCATCTGTGATTGGCCTCGTCCCCTATTCCCATGCAGATGAGAACACAGCATCACATCTTTTCCTTCTTCCTCCTGGCCCTGCAGAAACATGGGGTCCTTTTGTAGCTTTCTAATGAAGTTTCCTTAATGGAGCTAAAAAGACTCTTCCTATGTTCCCAACCCCTTACCTTTTTTCATTTATATCCTGTAGGGAGAGATAAAAGTTCACATAGGTGCCATTGGTGGCATTTGGGACACACAAAGGATTAAACTGATGTGACTCATTTCTCTTTTCTGAGGAAGGCACAGATTCACTGGGGTGCAGAGAAGTAAAGACCTCTGGCTGGGAGGTGAGAAAATAGAACAAGGGATGGTGTTGCTGATAACAAGATTGGAGTCATAGCCATAGGGGTTTACTCTTTCCTTCTCCTTTGCCTCTGTGAAACTCTTCTTTGGCCTAGTGCTGAGGGGCAGTAAGAAGTGAGACTGGAGTTGGAGGAGGAGGGATTCATCAGAGGCAGCAACAGGACCCCCAGTATCAAATGGAAAGGAGAAGTCTACTCAGTGGGGGCTATTAGAGGTTTATGACTATATGTGGGATGTGCTTATGTTATTTAGAGATTGCTGGTATATCATTTTTACTTGCCTGACTTAGCTCCTCCTTCCTTGATCTTTTCATCTGAACACAACTGTGGGAAAGAAATTATGGAGGCATTTTGGTCCTGATCTGCCATCACCATCATTGATCTTAGAGATTCTCATCCCAATTTACTAATGATCACTGACTCATCCAGAGTTATACAGCAATCAATGGCAAAGTTAATTGGAATCTCTATTTGGTAACATTGCTGTTAGCTGGTACCACTTAAAAAGAAGACAGCTTTAAGTGAATCTGCAGGTGGCATGAGTACATTGGAAAATTGGATCCCTCTTGTTCTTACAAGGTTTTTGAATGGTAGTCTTTGTGTTTAGGGTATCCCTTTTTTGAGTTTCAGGTTTGGGGGCTCAACCATCTTTAGTAAGGATAGGGAAGACCTCTTTTTCTTGCTGCAAAATTTTCAGTAAACTTAGCTGGCAACAGTCTTGTGACCATAGCCCAGGGAAAGGAGGAAGGAAATAGAGAAAAGGAAAAAAGGAGATGAGGGGATTTAATTGAATAGTGAGTTGCAGAGTGAGGGATGACTAGCTCTTTCCACTCCAGCTCCTTATTTAAGTTAACTCATTGTCTGCCCCAGCAAGGA